TACATCAACATATATATACACCAAAATTAGGACTTGTTTCCTGTGGAACAAAATTAGGGACTACATACAATCAAGTTACTTCTTAAACCCTATCAGCTAAAAATAACAATGAATTCATCTACAATCAAACAAACTGAGTTATATTAATGTGCTTTAATAATAGTCTATAAAACTAGAGGAACTAAGATCAGGATTCAGAGACAGTACTGGAAAGAATATTATAAGCACATGAGAACGTGAAATAAAGAAACCCCAAGGAATGGCTCAAATTTGTCATTTAGATTTGTTGGTGACATTAGACCACATACATTTTTCTAGTTATTTCTAGATCAGTTTGTATGTAACTTGTACTTTGGCACACATTTAATTATTTATCAGAGTCTACTTTCTTTTTTTTTCTTTTTTCTTAATTTTTGTCAGAGGGCACATTACCATCCCAAAGAAACCAGCACATCCATGGGGGATGGTCACACCACAATCCCTTTTCCTCCATCTCTTCCTTCTTTTGGGATTTCGAGCACTTAGACTTAAATAAATTATCCAAATTAGGCAAAACAAGAAGTAATACATAATTTAGCCTCCTTATTTTATTTCTGTCTCTCAGATTATATTTAACTATATGTAATGTCAAACTGTCCTTTTTATTCTTTTTTATTTTAGTGTTCAAATTGTTCCTATTTTGGATATTTAAATTAAAAGAAGACTAGTGATCTCTGTATAGCTAGAAACATAATTTAAAGATACTAATTTATGGTAATATTGATTTATTTTTATTTGAAATAAGCAAAAAAAAATCTAGTTTCTAATTTAAAAAGGCTCAAAATCTTCTAAACCCAAATAAGAATTGATCAAATTAGTTGTAAATCCATTGTTTATTTTTATTGTTCAAATTATTTATTTAATTTTATTTATTATTATTGCTTCTTAATTTGACCAGAGAGAGATAAAGAGAGGACTTGAACTGCAGTTGGTAGAAGTCTGGCATTCCAATCGCTATGCTACCTGCCTGCCGTCCCCCACTTATTTTATGACAGTTATTGAGCATTTGTCTTCATCCATAAAGAATTAATCACAATGTAAAATTGCCATTTTACATTTAATAACAGGGCAAAAGGAAAAATATATGAAGGCACATTTTGTTCAAATAATGAACAAATAAAATAAAAATAGAAAGCATTTTAAAAATAAAAAGTTGGTAGATTTAAATACAACTCTATGGGTAATTATCAATGCATTAAATATAAAAATCCTAAGCAATTTTTTGAATTATTTCATTTTATTGACCATCATTATTATTATTTTAACTTGACCAGAAAGAAACAGAGACTGAAAGAGAAGGATAGTAAGAAAGCAAGCCACCATGTCTGGGACTTGAAACATAGTCAGACATGTGGGAGACCAGTGCACTCAAACACCATGCTAACCCCCTGGTCCTTCTAAGCAATACATTTAAAAATCAGATTGTGGGGAGCAGCCTGTGGTGTGGTGGTTAATGCAATTAGATCTCACTACTCAGTTTGAGTTCAGGACCAGGTTCCTTTAGATACATGCCAGGTATGTGCATGTTCAAAATCCCAACTGGAGGGATAAATGGAGAAAGTATTTAGTAGTGACTATGGGGTGTGCTTTCTAACTTTCTCTCTCTCTTTCTCTTCTCTCTCTCTCTCTCTCTCTCTCTCTCTCTCTTGTGAGCACATGTGCCTTCTGGTAAAATTTAAAATAAGGAAAATAGCTTGTGAATAACAAGACAAAATTTAAAAAAAACTAAAATGTATTATAATAAACTCATTATAAATATAAAGAAAAATATAAAAACACAAAAAAGATGCCAGGAAAAATGCTGAATTCTTCCAAAATATAGATGAATGCTCCCACCTTATTTTATGAGATTAGAGTTAATCTACTAATTACATAAACTTGAGTGACTATATTAATATCAATAGATTTATGAGCACAAGCTACTGCCAGGGTTAAATATGGGCATATTACAATCGTGAAAGGATCAATTTACCAAGAATCAAGAACATTCTAATTTTATGGATAACTACCAACAGATGTTCCAAATACACTGATCAAAAACTGACAGGACTTTAAAAAGAAATAGGCAAGCCCATAATTGTACTTGGACATTTTAGTACATTTATCTAAGTAACTGGTAAACAAGTAAAGAAGTTGATATATTGGGTCATCATTAAAGTCATGACGCATTTTTGCATAGAAAAACATAGAGAAAATATGTCATGCCTTTCTGACAACCCAATAGATACAGATGACTTGAATAACATTCTTAAACAAATCAATTCACTTGATTTTGTAGAACTCCTCAACTCAACAGCAATAAAACACACCTTTTTTCAAGATTACGTGGACCAGTCATGAAGGCACACAATATTCTAGACTCTAAGACAAGTCTCAAGAAGTTTAACTGAATTAAATTATACTAAGGATGGTCTCTGATCAATTGAAATTAAGCTAGAAGTTGATAATAAAGATATGCAGAAAATCCCTAATGTAGAATGTAAAAGATTCTAAATGATACCTGAGTTAAAGTAAAATCAAATGAGAAGTTATAATTATTTTAAACATAATTAAAATGAAAATAAAGGCTATCAAAATATGTGCATGTATGTTAAAGCAATGTATGAGGGGACATCTCAGCCAGTAGTGATGAGAGCACAGCTGTGATGCAATACTCCAGGCTGCTGAAGTCACATGGGAAGGTCCTGAGTCCTCTGTATTAAAGAAGACATAAATAAAAAGAAAGATGCATCATTTTTGGGGTTTTGAAACATTAAAATATCATTTTTCCCCAAATTGATGTAAAGACTCAATCCAAATCCTGGCATGTTTTTCTAGACATTGACAAGTTGATTCCAAGATCTATATGGAAACACAAAGGAACCTAGGACAGCAGAAAAAATGTGAAAAAGGAAAACAATATGGGATAATTCACATCACCTTATTTCTTTTATTTCTTTTTCTTCTTTTTTTTCTTTTTTTTTCATAGGGTACATACAGTCACTAGAAAGAGACAAAGAGAAAGACAAAACTACAGTAGTAGACAAGTAGACATAGTTTATAGACATGCTTGTAGACATAGCTTTGATCTGAATTGTTGATGGAGGTGTCCATTCTAGGAACTTTGAGAAACTTTTGAGGTGCTAAGGCTGTTCAACAAACACTCTGTGATGATGGTTACACAGTTATGTACACTAATCAACTCACTGAATTGTACAATTAATGTGAATGAATTATATTATACATAATTTGACTCAATGAAGTTAGTTAGACATTAGGAACTAGGACAAAAACTAGAGGGCCTTTTTTTTTTTTAATGGAAGTCCGAATCTGAGTGTCTGTACGAGACACAAGATAAATTAAGGATTGGCAGTCCAGAGGTGTACGATACTGGGAGACAAGAATATCAGGAACAATTACTAACTTCTCATTACATTGATTTAAAACCTTGTAGATCATGTTTCTGTTTCTTTTCTTTCTATTCCCTATTCTTCTCATTATTCTATTTTATTTGAAGACATCAAGATTTCCATGATCTTCACTTTAATGTTTTATCGAAATATAATACACATAAAGAAATATCAACAAATGTGAAGAGTAGTACCCAGTGAATTTTCAATAAATAAAGAAGCATGTGTTACTTAGACCTAGATTATGAAATATGATTTACCAGTACTTGAGAATCTTCCTGATGTGAGGCAATTTTTGTTGTTTCCTGTTCCTGGTGATTATGAATAAAGAACATTTTCATCATCTCTGCAAGATACAATATATACTGTAAATCTCATAAATGTTTTAAAAACATAGGATATGTGAAATCTCCTCAATATATACTGCTAACAGCAGTACCTCTGCATGAAACATTCAGTAAGTTGGAATAAGGTACTCACAGTATGTTTTATTCAGACCCCTGATCCATGAATTATCTTTTAGTAATTTAATTTTATGCCTAACGGTAGAAAAAATTCAACTTAACACTAATTGGATGAAGTGGGAAGAAAAGAATCATTGTGAATGGTAATAAAGTAATAGTACCTTTAGAAGAGAAATGGTTGATTACGTGAAATACCATTTATCAAGGGCTCATACGTATATAAAATATGCATGTATCATGATGATTCCTCTTTAGCCATGAAAGATACTTGTATTTATAACTTAGAGGCAAAAAAAAAAAAAATACAGGATAGAAAGTTTAAATAACTTGACCAAATTTCTTCATGAATAATTAGCTGAGACAGAATATTTCCCAAATATTCCTGATTCCAAAGTTACACATTTTAACTTTTATAATACATTACACAATAAGAAAATTTCCATCAAAGTGCTAACAAATATAAAATACCAAGTTCCATATTAGCATGGTTTATAAAATATATGTAAACATTTATGATTAAAAAGTAAAATAAAATAACTAGTTCCATCTACTCAAGATAAGCTGGATCCCACATGGCAACCATGATTGGACTCTCCAGTCCCGTCATCCTGAAATGTGCTGGTGTACATGTGAATTCCAGAGATCTGCTGGGCTGAAGGATTCGAGGAAGGGGACTTTTACTTTGACCAGGTCCTGGTGGCTCTGTCTCTCTCCCTCTCTCTCTCTTTTTTTCTCTGTGTCACTCTCAAATGCACACATGTGCGCTATCATAAATAAAAATAAAAATAATAATAATAATAATTTTAAAAGACAAATAAAGGACTAATTTCTAAAATAACCCAAGAACATTTTGGTTTATGGAACTTCCTAAAAGCACTGGTATTATAATAATACATTTTCGTATATATCTATATCTATCTATCTCTATATAGATATATCTATATCTATTTATCTATCTACCTACCTATAGGTTGATACGCACACACATACACGTATATTCTTTTGAAATATGTGTGTGTATACAAATATGTGTGTATACAAACCACAAATTTTTTAAGAGATTAGAAGATGTAAAGTTAAATTATGACTCTATATTGCTGTTTTTCAGAACTGTAATGAGAGCAATAGGCAGAATGAATGCTATTACTGGAGGTGGGTAGAGAAGACATGTGATCTTATATTATTGAACATAGTAAATAGTTTTAAATGACTAACGATTTTATTCAAACACCCAAAAACTCTACTCTATTAAATATTACTTAAAATGTCTAATATTGGATTCAATGTTACATTTCATAGCTGAATGCATAACTTTAATTGGACTGTGCTTTTTTACAAAAACTATAATCTGTATCACTCAGCAAAGTTAATATAACGTAACCTATCATTTCTTAAAATCTGTTATGAATGTGAGTGAAAGAACGACAGTCCCCAATCTGTAAATCTTTTAGTTTCCAAAAATGTTGATGTATAAAAGCAAATGATATATAAAATAATAGTATGGGATGTGCATTGTAATTGGGATTTACTTTCTTCTAGTGATCCTGGGAGCTTTTAGAAGGTTTGTAGGGACTATCTCCTGTTACAGAATTGTAATTTAGAAGTGTCAGAAGATCATATAGCATAACATCTTACTCACCTAAATCTATCTCAGATAGTAATCTAGGTGGGTCATTTTTCAGGCAATCACAAACTCAACATTTTTCCAACTATACACATGATATGTTGAAGAGATCTAGCTGACTCCCAGCTTTCTTCTGCAGCTTCTCTCCTGTGATTATGGCCTTGAAAAAGTCATTTGATTACTGGATATGACTAATCATGAGATACTATTTAGAAGGCTAGTTCCAAAGAGTAACAGCACTGTGAAGAGAAAATAGGATGCCACATGGCCCATCAAGTTTAAGTAATGGCCCTGATAGCTCACATGCCAAAGCTCAGATGTTTTCAGGATCCTGATAGTTGAGAGAATTGGAGGGGGAAAGGATGGTGGCATGATGGGGTCCCATTAGGGAGGTGCTTCTCTGTGTCTCTCATACAGGGATGTGCCCTCTGGCATAATAAAAGGGAAAAAAATGGTTAGATACTAATCAAAGTCATTCTTTACAAATATTCTACTCTTAAGCTATTTCATTTCTTTATTATTTGTCAAATGTTCGTGAAAAATAAGTTTTGGCATTAGTTATGCTATATTAGGATGTTTCTCAAGAGACAATAGTCCTATCCTGAATTATTTTGGAAATTTTTAGATTTGTTATGTGTCACAATCATGAGGATGCATTCATGATATTTTGTGGTGATGTCAAACAGATGTAAAAGGCAAAACGTCCCTGTACATGGAAGGATTGACCCAATTCTCCACAAGTATTTTTTCTTTAATTGCCAGAGGGCACGTGTGCTCAATAGAAAGAGACAGTGAGAGAGAGAGAAGGAATATGAGAAAGCATTCCCATGGGGGTTGGTCTCACCACAATCTCTTCTCCATTTATTCCTCCTTTTGGGAGTCTCAGCACATTTGCACACAAGCTTAGTGTGTTTCTCAAGCCGTCGGTCTGGACTTAAATGGTACAGTCAGTTATGTGGGATCTGGTCCACCTCACAAAATTTTTTGTTGTCTCACTGGACATCTATTTAAACAACAGCAACAACAAAATCATTATTACCTAAGCCTTTATCTGAACATTTACATTTAAAACATTTTTTTCCATAGCTTAATACATTAAATTCCCTTGGCAATATAATATACCACCATGCAGTTGTAAAAATAATGAGAAAAATCTATGTGGTCAGATAGCTAACATTTATTTATATGAAAAAGTTAAGCATAGGCATAGAAGTTATGTCACTGGACTCCCACATGGCCAATCACAGTTTGAGTCCCAGTCCTGGTTACTTAAATATCACACTGGGTGCATGTGCATGCATGCCCAAGATACCAAGAGGAGATTGGAGGAGAAGGAACTGTGGCATGGCCATCCCCATTGGGGGTTGACTTCTCACTTTCTCCCTCTCTGTTTCTGTCTTTCTTCTCTCTCTCTCTGGTGAGTGCACACACCCAAGGCAAAAACCTCTAGGAAAAAAAAAGTTAAGCATAGGATAGTATGACTACTTTGGTAAATAGAGTTAAATAAGAATTCATATTTATTTGTATATATAATATATTCATAGGGGACTTCAATAGGTTTGTGAAAAACACAAAGAATGAATTTATTCTGATGCAAAATTTTTAAAAATTCATGTATAGTTTTTTCATGATATGCATTTTTCATGGGCATTTGAATACCCCTTGAATGTATACAAATAGACAAGTATGTAAAGAAATACTGAAAGGATATATGAGAAACTAATAATAGGGATTACAGATAAACAGAGGATGAAGAAAATGGATGGTAGTGGGAATGAGAGATAATTAAAAGTAAATGAATAACAAATAAATATGTATAGTTTCATGAAAAACGTTATTGCATTGCCCATTAAATATTAAATAAAAACCAAATGCATAAAAATATCTGCTTCAAGTGTTTTATGTTTTTTCATTTTACTGTTTTTTTCAAAATGTAATAAATATCAGGTTTATAGCAGATCTTTCAGTAATATAGGCTTTAATAAGAGCAATTTCTATAGAACTTTGGAAGTCATCGAGCAGAAAGTTTGCTCAACTCTAATTTTCCAGTTAGAATCGTGTAAGCTAAACCAGGTGAGATGTCTATGGTGTTGGCTATTATTTCTGCTGCTAATCATTAGTCCTCTTAGATTAGGGCATAAACAAGATTAATTTTTTTCCTTGAAAATTGATGTGGACAGTCTGCTCCTGCAGGCATCATTTTCAACATCATCTCATCCCTCTTTAAAAATGAATTAATCAAGTGTAAACTGCTATTTCTTTGGGGCATGGTTCTCTAAAACTTTTTGTGGAGCAGAAATGAGCAGCATTCTTCCACACAAGTTTCACCATAAATTTGATGTTTGTCTTTGCTTCTGTTTCAATAGACTTCATGTTGCTCTGTTAGAGCCTCTTTTCAAACCGATATCTCCCTCTCTTCAGTGCCTCAAACTGATCCTGCTCAGACATAGTATATCAAGTTTATATCTATGTATAGTATAACAAGTATATATACTTGTTATATATATACTATATATACATAGTATACTATATATACATAGGATATACATAGTATAACAAATTTATATCTATTATTTATTTCATATTACTTATTTTTCATGAACTTTTAAAAGACTTTCATAGTATGTAAATAGGAAAATAATAGTTTCAAAAATGAAAGAAATTAGAAGTAAAGAGGTTTATAGGTAAATAAGCTTAATATTGGTGGTTATTTAATAGATGGAATCAATGGTGATTTGTCCTTACAACTTTATAGTTTCTATATTTCAATTATTAATTGGCATCAATTAAATTATCAAGATATAGAAGTAGGTGAAAAAAAACCTCAAAATGCAAAATGTCACATACAAAATAATGTTGAACTTACCACACTCCATAAACTCAAAATGCAAATTGTCACGTACAAAATAATGTTGAACTTACCACACTCCATAGAAAAAGATTATCCTAAGTCACTATAGTATCTTAGCCAGCATGCACTGGGGATTTGCTTCTCTCTTTCTCTCTCTCTTTACATAGATGTGCCCTCTGGCATAATAGAAGAAAAAAGTGTAGTTAAGTTCAAATCAAAATCATGCTTTATAAATATTCTACTTTTAAGCTATTTCACTTCTTTATTAATTGTCAAATGTTCATGAGTAAGAAATTTTGGCATTAGTTATACTATAATCGAATGTTTCTCAACCGTGAAAACAGCTCCATCCTGAATTATTATCTAGTTTTTATGATCCTCGAATTTTTTTAATGCTTCACTCGATGTCATTTGTGTGATAGCAGACTGCTGAAAAGACCAAGCCGACTGGCCCAAAGCCTCTCCTTTAACTGAGAACAAGAGACATATCAGAGGAACATCAGCATGTCACTCTAACTTTATTAGGACAGAGACATAAATACATTTCAGTCGTTCTTGTGAAATTTTGGGTTTATTTAAAGTTATTGTTTCAACATTATAATTAAGTAACCTGACCCTGATGAATTTTACTTAAACAACCACTTTCAAGAATTTTCCCATTAGCCCCTATTCTCCATCAAAATCCATATCTGTGTCCCTCAACTTTATTCTCACTCTGAAATTTTTCATTAAGTTCCTGTCAGTTTTGTGAATTTCCATACAAATGAGTTACTTCTTGGTTTACTGTTACTATCCTCCATCCTTTCTCCATTCTTTATGGATGAGATATTTATTAATATTATTGTCATAATCACAACTTCCATTAAGTGTGATAGTAGTCACAGGATCATTTTTGGCAATTTTTGTTAAATGTTCAGGTGAAGTGTTTGTTTTATAAATGCACACCATCCAATAAGCAAACTTGAAAATAGTAAAGAGAAAGCTTATTTCAAGAGTGAAAGTCAATTTCTCCAGGATGAATTCAGAAACTTAAAGTAAGGGGGAAACCAATACCACATCCCGAGGCGAAGGAACAAACAGACAAAACAGTGTTTCTGAAACCAAATGACACACAGAAGGTCTTCTGATGGTGGTTGTAGCCCTGAGGATCCACAATTTATGTCAGAGCAGGGAAGGATGACGGAAGAAATATCTCAAATGTTCTTTGCTTTTACCCTCTCATCTTTTCTTGTAATTCACATTGACTGAACCCAATCCAAAACTGACTGTAAAGGAAATGTGAATGGAGTAGTAATCCCTGGACCTTGGTTTTCTTTTCACACAGCAGGGAAGAGAAAGTGAAAAAGGGATTTTGGGGAAAGGAAAGAAATGAAAAAATCCCCAGCATCATGCCTTTACTCAATTTTTATCCCATTACCTTTCTCTTAAGAGAGTAGATATTCTGCCTTAAATAGGAATTTTTTAAATTTAGAATAAATTGGGGTTTGTTTATAAGGCAGAGACTTAGAAGGTTTTGTAAAAATCCATTGTGAGAGATTGAATTTTTAAGATAATACTGTTGGATTTAGAGAAATATTTAGGTCTTTTCCATTTGAACAGAAAATCTCCATTTAAACAAGGATCAAAGTTCATTTTCTATATAGAATTAAGCATTGTTTAGTCTTCAGCTTGCCTCTTATTACCAGGAGAACTGAAGTACTTAGACAAACCTCTGATTTCTTAATTTCCACAGGTTGTGTGTTTGACATATCAGCCTTTGCATTTGCCTTCTAAAGTGGCGATATTGGTCAAGGAGAAAGCTCACAAAATCTACGAAATTAATGAAGTCTAGACTTTTAAGGACTTGAAAATGGATGACAAGGATGATAAAATACCTTGAATTTTCAAGGGGATTTTGGGAAATTGTTCTCAGAACAAAATGTAGAGTTTTAGTAGTTGACTTATTTGTTCTTTGCTGATAACATGCTCTCCACATACCCCATCCCCATCTCTCAAATCACACAATTTGTATTTGGTGAGGATAAAAAGAGAGTACTAGGAAAGTGAGGATGGCTTACAAAATCTTTGTACAGAAATAATTGAGTCAAGTGTAGACTTCAACATTTCTGATATCAGTAGTTAAGAGGTAGAAAGTGAAATCAATATTGTATTTTAAATTCTACCTATAATCTGTGTCTATTTTTGTTATCTCAAGTGCTAGGGACCATGCTACATGAGAGTCTGTCCTTGGTAACTGTAACAGTGATTATTCTCAAAGTTGGTTAAAATAAACAGAATGGAGCATATTGAAATAGTGAGTGTCAAAAATTCAAAAAGACTTGTTTGGAAAAAGAATGCATACTCCATTTAGCCAAACAAAACAGCCCATTAGCTCTTGCATTACAAATTTAACCAAGCAGAATGATTTTCTATATGGATAGAAATAAATTTTTTCATTATTGAAGAACTATGTTCAGGCCTATTGTACTCTCACCTCAGATTAATCTTGCTGTGAGAATCGTACTGCAATGGCAGTTTTCATATGCTGTTAAATATTTAATAGATATCTCTAAAAGAATCGCTCCATGCAGTATCATGTTCCTTTCAGAACTTAACTCCAACTGACTTTTGACAAGTAAATGAATGAAACCTATTACAAAAAGGATTCAACACTTCAAAACTCAGAGACAGAAAATATTTTTCCTCTGAGGTCGCGGTTCTTTTGATATGTTGCCATTGTCAAAAATGTTTTCTGTTATTGTCAACAAAAGGTTATTACTTTCAAAATAATTTTTAGATTTAAGATAACTGTTGTGCATTATTATAAAATTAGAACAAAGTCAAGGGAAAGAAACAAAAAACACACTTTATTGTGGGTGTACATGTGTGTTCATTTTTGTTTGAGGTGGAGATAGCTTTGGGTTGACATATTTAACTGAAGAGAAAGTCAGGGCCAACAAGTGGCATGGTGGTTAAGGCACTGGATTCCCATATGGCTAGCCATGTTTGAGTCCCAGACCCAGTGGCTTGAAAAACCATGCATACATTCCCAAAATCCTGAGAGAAGAATTGAGGAGAAGGGATTGTGGCATTACCATCATCCCTAAGAAGTGATTTCTCACTTTCTCTGTCTCTGTTTCTCTCTGTCTTTCTCCTATGAGCACACATGCGCTGTGAAAAAGAATAAATCAATAAATAAAGAGAAAGTATAGTTCATAAAGCAGCCATATAATTGGAATCAGAAATATTTTGTATTAGTGATTCTAAAAAGAAAAGTCAAACCAAACAAAGAGTAAACTAAAACGTGAGGCACATTTACTTCAGTTCTTTAAAACTGAGAGACTAATTTGATGAGGGCCTGGAGGATATTATTATAGAGTTGAGCTCCTAGAGCTTCTTTTGGTCAATAGAGAAAGGAAAGATAAAAGGTTATTCCCATTTATTGCAAAAGAATACCTCTATTAGAAGCACAAGTTGTGCCTGCGGATAGAGTAATCTTCCTTATGCAATTTTTCAATGGTAACAAGAGTCTAAGGTATTTAAAAAAAATCGCTATTAATTAATATGTCGCTCTCTTTGGAACAAGAGAACAATAGATTTCTCAGTTTTCACATCTCAGTGGTTCTGGAGTTGCCTTATAACTTTTTTTTTAAGAGAGCTTTTTTTTTTTGCTATAGGGCATGGGCGCTCGCCAGAAAGACAGAGAGACAGAGAAAGAAAGTGAAAATTCCCCCTCCTCCATTCTCCTTTGGGGATCTTGGACACACATGCACACACGTTTGGCATGAGTTTTAAGCCACTCAAACCACAGTCAACTACATGGCAGTCCAGTGACATAACCATTATGCCATCTGCTGGTCCCATTACTTGATATTTTAACAGTACTTTAGCTAATGTATTAATGCCTCAGCACATTTGAGGATTGTTTTCTACTTCCTTGCTGGTTCTCTACATGTAAAAGATTTGAAGGCTAATTCTTAATCATCCTGCTGCCACAACAATTTACATCCCTGAGTCACCACAGCAGTGACTTGATCACGCTAGTTACAAGAGCAGCAAATAAACATCAGTTGGGTTGGCAGTTGCTGGTGAGGAGCAACATGAAGTTCAGTTTTGCCTTATAGCATTGAGCTTATATTCACACACCTGCATCTGCACAGGAAGTATAGGCTTTGCTTTTAAAGATTCCAGTAAAAAATATTTACTTTTAGCTGGTACTCTCAAGGTACTAGTTAATTAACTATTTGTCAGAACTTAACTATTATCCAATTGTTTTTCTTAAAGAAAGGTGACATTTAGCTCAATGGAAAGCAAAAATCACCCAAAACAACTGAGAACACTGTCGTTCTTCTTTCTTTGTTTTTCTTTTTTTAACAGTAAAACCAATATTTTCTGTATTCCTTGAAAAATGCCAGAATCATTTGTATCTTTTTTAGTCATTTTGACCACCAAGAATCTAAAAAGGAAAAATAGAAATACAATGGGAAACTCTGCTTGTGTATACTATGCTGCATTTCCCCTTGAGACAAGTCATACATTTTAATTAATTTTGAAGTTTTATACTAAGCTTAGTTCTTCTTTCCCAACAGAAGCTTCCTACAGGAAAGAAATTCCTACAGTCAGATACACATGGAAAGAGATTCAAACATAATTCAGAAATAATTAATCACAAGGGAATACATGCTTGAGAAAAATCTAGGCAACATAATGAAAGGATGAAAACTAAGATGCTATTTGCCAACAGGATGAAACCTGGAAGGAACTGTCATCGATTTAAAAAATAGAAATATGATGATTTTTAGTGACATGTGGTTGAACAAGAAGGGACTTGGTAGGCTAAACATTTTATGCATTCAGGGACATTCTCAAGTTCAAGTTACGTTTCCCATTTAAAAAAAAAAAAAAAACCTATCTCAAAGAAAACTTGAAACTAAGAGTTTCAGAGAAATATAACTTCTCAGATACAAAACTAATTTTATGCCTTATTTGAAGAATTTCAAGACAAAAATTAAATAAACTTCAGAGGATATAGGGTGTGTTGAACCCATTAAAAGCTGAACCTCAGGGCAAAATAAATGGTCAGGATCCTTCAGGTGCAATTAAAAAACCAGTTATCACTGATTTTGTTTTGAGCAACTTTGAATTTAGCTACATTATCAGATTATTGTCTTGCTTGCATCCCTTCCCAACAGGATTTTTGCCTTATGAAAACTCTATCGACAGACACTAAAATCAAAAGAGACACATCTAGAAGAACATTTCAGTTTTGAATCAGTTGTGAGCTGCTGATGAGATGAGATTGGAATAACTGGAATAAATTACCATAAGTGAAGAAAAATATTACATTAAAAGTTTGAAAATTACCTGAAGAACTTTAAACTCAACGTTTTAAAAATTTGACATGATACCTTGGGAAAAATGATGATGTGTTTGATCTTTATTGACCTTCCTTTCCTAAATTGAGACTTGATGAAATTTTTAATATAAGAAGAACATCTCTAGTTTCTTATCTCTCTGGGATCCTTTGCTCATTCAGTTTGTGAGTTTGTGAGGGAAAGGACATACACCTTCTTTGTGACAGGACATTTTAGTGGAGGAAGCAAAAATAAAAATCGGGACATAGTAGTCCTAAATTCTAGTCTTTAGGTAAATTTCCTATTTTAGTAAAATATTAGATGAGATTATTGAGTTTCCTCTGAGACTATTATACTAACTATAAAGCCATTTATTAATTATGGATTTTCATGAGCCTCTCCTACAAAATAAACCTATGCCTGAAAGTGAGGACACAGCAGTTAAAAAAAAATAAATAATTGCGAACATATTTTACGTAATCACTGATGAGTATTAACAGTGGATTTCTACTTCAGAAGTGGGTATTAACCTGAAATAGTCTGTCACTGAGCATAGGAGAAGGAAAATAGTGAATATTATTGAGCAGCCAATTCATTGAGATATTCTCTCAGAATTCCTATCAACTCTTTTGGGAATTTTGGCTGAATGTATGAGAGAAATATTGCTTGAGGCTTGAAATGCCTTGTAAATCCTAAATTTCATGATTGTAATCCAATAACATTTAAATAGATTTTTATTTCTACATTCCTTTATCAGATATGAGACACTGCCAATCCTCTAAAAATGCTATTGCTAAGAGAAAAACGAGTGAGACAGAGAAAGGGTGGATAATAAAATTAGTGGGTAAAAAAATTGTGTGGTAATGTTGGACACAGGCTAGTTTCCATTGGTAGGCTTATTTAGTGAACTTTAAAAAAAATGCTGTTTACACAATTTTATTATGGAAGTGGAATTTTAGAGATCAGTACTCTTCAGAAACATAAATACTACATAATGAGAACTACTGTAGTCAGAACAAGGTGTCCAAAAAGATGCAACAGACTATTTACAGATGATCCAGGAAACACTTGGGAAATGTGGTTTGGGAAGGATAAATTATATAGGAAAAGTGAAATTTCTTAATACATTTGAAGGAAATTTCAAACAAATAGAAAAAAAAGTAAACAGACAAATACATACATGATCATGTGCTGCATGATGATGTTTAAATCAATGATGTATTCAAAAATTAAACAGACAAATACATACATGATCATGCACTGCATGATGATGTTTAAATCAATGATGTATTCCTTATATAATAGTAGTCCCATAAAATAAAGGATACAACAAAATCTTATCACCCAGTTATATTGCAGCCATAGTAATGTCATAGTCCAGTGAATTATTCATGTGTTTGTGGTGGATGTTGATGTAAACAAACGTACTGCACTACCAGTCATATAAAGTACAGACATAAAGTTATGTATAGTACAAAATTACTTGATAATAATAATGAATTACTGACTTATGTATCTACTTCACTTTTTAGTTTATTTTTAGTTTATTTTAGTTTATAAGTATACTTCTACTTATAAAAAATACTTTACTGGGACCAGCAGATGATATAATGGTTACATCACTGGACTCCCACAGGGCCGACTATGGTTTGAGTTCCAGACCTGGCAGCTTAAAACCCATGCCAGCCATGTGTGCATGAGTACTCAAAATCCCAAGAGCATGGGAAGAAGGGATTGTAGGGTGGCCATACCCCTTGGGGGTGATTTCTTGCTTTCTGTCTCTGTCTCTCCAGCAAGCATACACACTCTACAGCAAAAGAATGAAACAAAAAAACTCACTAAAAAAATAATAGTTTACTATAAAACAATATTATGCCGTGTTATACAGACAGAAAACTAAATATGTTTCCCACTCTGGAATGCTTGTGCATTAATTTAATCTCATGTTGTTTTCTTCATCATGGGCTTTCAATGAGACCAGATGTGGAGGTGGGAGACAGTGATACTGATAAAGATGAATTTCTAGATGATGCCTACCGTCATTCAGAATAAGTCAAGCATAAAAAAGTAGGAAATAAAACCTTTCAAGGAGCAAAAACAAGTCATCCACCAAGAAGTGT